GATTTACAGCATTCGCACTTCTTTCGGTTTTTACACGAATAAGTGTTCTACTTTTGTGTCAATTATACACATATCTACTTATATGGATGAAGTATACAAATTCTAGGGGTAGAACTTGTCATTTCTAAGAGAACTAAAAGAATATAACTTGAAATGGAAATATTCCCAAGTTAGTAATGAGAGAATAATTTGGGAAGGAGCGATAGGGTGTCGTCAGTTGAAGAATTGAGGATTTGGGAGAAGGATATTTAAGAACAAGTACAAAGCAGTGAAGGGGTCATTGTGTGGAAAGGGAATGTGAACAATTGGTATATATTGGAGGTGGGAGAATATATGGCTATTGGTAATGGAGTTGGGTTGCAGAAAGTAAGGAACATTTTATAGATTCCATTTAGTCAGCCTCACATTTAATGAATTTGCTGGGTTCACTGACTTAGTGATCCAAGTTCTTCAGTATTTTGAATTTACTGAACTCTACTTAAATTAAATGCTCAATGCCCTTGAGGAAACCACATGCAATGACATTAATTCACTGGATTCCTTTTACCTAACTACATTTTATTAATTAACTTCCCAGACTAAATTTAGACTTTAAAAAATTCAACAGTGTATTCACTGCGGGCCAGTTTGAAGAACTACTTTAGAGCAGTGTGAGAAGATCTTACATACAATAGAGGATTGAATGGGAATAGACAAAGACAAGGACAAAGACAAAGACAAAGACAATCAGCTGGACACTGATCAGAAGTGGGTTGCAGAATAGAAAAGTATCACAGGAGCAAGATGGAAGCAGGGGCAGAGCCATAAAGAAATGGTTTGGAATAAAAAAAAAACATAAGCACAGCATGAGGTCATAAGATTGAGGTGGAAGGAAGAGTACTTGAAACTCATTATAGTATAGGAGACATGTAGTGGAAAAAGTGGAAACAGTTGGGAGCTGGAAGGCCCAGCACACAGTAGACTTTACGACTACAAAGCAATTTCATCGAGATAAGCAGGTAGCAGCAACACAATTGAAGATCTAAAACTGAAATTTTCCAAAGCCCACTCAAGAGAAGACATGAACAGGTAAAGGGCTATCAAAAGTTGGACTAAACAACAAAATGGTTTTGTTTTGCTTCTGTTATTTTATTTCTTTCTCTTGGATGCAATTTGTAATATGGTAGAAATGTAAGCTGATCTTTAATGGCTCTTAATGTTACTTCCTTCTTTTTTGCATACTTGTCATATTCTACGTACTTATTTCCACTCCTCTCTCCAGCTTCCCATGTTTCACTTTAGCATTTCTGATCTCCTACTGCATTTTTCGCTGTGGCTCAGAAAGTGTTCACATTCTTCTAGCTAAAGCCTTACTTTATAAAAGATACCACGAGCACTCAGAATGTACCATGCAGATCCTTGTCAGGGCCAACTTTTTGGGTAGGTATTAATTGGTGAAAGCATTGCAAAACAATAAGGGATGCAGCTTGTGTAGTGTTCTTGACCAGAGATGATATCAGAGTATCCTAGTGACAACCCTAGCTGATAGTCCTCACGTCTGTGATAAAACATATTTAGTGAAGGGCAAGTGGTATGAATTTTAATTCCCAATACAAAAATGACAAAGTACTTAGGTTTTCCTTGCTGTTCAAGTAGAGTGCATGACCTTCCAAGTTTGGTATTGAAAATACTCTGGTGCCAAAAGGAAAAAAAAAAAAAAGAAAAAAAGTTTATATAAGCATCTTGACTTCCACTTTCTCAAGAACGATACCATATCGCATTAAAGAAACTAGGTGTAAACTTTGAACAATTTAAACTTTTAAAACATTGCTGATAACAAGGAGCATTTACACTTTCTACTTGTAATTGATCTTACAGCTGCAAAGCATTCAGCTCCTTGCCTTCAAGAGCTTGTCATTTTTATATTACCTCCAATATGTTAGCAGAATATCAAACAGGATGTGCAGCAATATCTTCTGGTTTTCATACAAACCTGAGTTAGGAGCAAAAAGTAGGCATTAAGCCGTTCAAGACTGCTGCACCATTCAATAAGATCACAATTGTTCTGTTTGTGTTTCGAAGTCCATATTCCCATCTTTGATTCTCTTACCTAATAAGAATCTCTCTTAAAATAACCGTGCCCCTGCCACCCACTGAAGTAGTGTTCAAAGTGTCTCAATCCTCAAAAAAAAAACAACAACCCTCATCTGACTTCAAAGGGCAAACCCTAATTTCAAGTGTTCTCCTTTTCTGGAGTTAGATACACCACATTCTGCTTTTCAGGCTGTATTGTTTGCATAAATCAGCTGATTGGCCTATGCCATTAAACATTTGCCAATAAATATAAGAAAGAAAAGCAGGTAGTATGAATAAATCAACAAGCATCTGTTTTATGAAGCAGCTGAAAATTTTGTCCACAAATTGAAGTCTAAAAATATGGTACCGAGAAGGATTTCTTGGACACACAGCAGGATGGAAAGAAACTAACCAAAACTGAATAGTTACAAGTCTTAAATGATTTTGAAAACAGAAATGGAGTTTGGTGAAGAAGTGAATGACCACTGTTTGCATACAAAGGACATGCAATTAAGCATATTTCACTTCTACATGTTCCAAAGTGCTTCACAACCAAATATGCTAGTTTTCATGCAAACATTTCATCTCCCTTCAAGGTCACATCAGTGCTGTGTAGCCTCTGTTGAAGCGCCGTTGTTCTGTCCTGCTCAGAATCTATGGGGTCCGGTCTGTCATAGCGGGCAGTCACGTTTCTGGTTTTGTACCGTAATGGTATGCAGATAGAGTCTATTTCCACATGTTTGTTAATTGCATGTTTGAAAACCAGGCCTCCATGAATTCTCATGTTTGTCTTTGTTGTGCTTGTCCCAGTTAAACTGATGTCCTTCAAACGTCAAAGGCAAGCACAAGAATTCAAGGAGACTTGATTTTCAACCACTGACGCAATTAACAAACACGTTGAAATAGATCCCATCTACATACCACTACAGTACAAAACCAGAAACAAGGCTGCCCACCATGACAGACAGGACCATATAAATTCACAGCGAGACAGAACAACAGCGCTTCAATGGAGGCTACACAGCACTGCCCATGTCACCTAGAGGGGAGACAAAAGTGCTGTATCATTAACAGCATGGATACTCATGTAAAAGAAAATTCCACCAAATACCTAAAAGTTGAAGTACTTGAAGTTGCATATATATTCAGAGGAAAAAGTTGTGTGGGATGTGTTTAATTGCAACTCAGCCAGATTTGCTTAATTATACGCACCCAACTTAACAATCGAGCATATTTCTGTACTTACGAATCTTCATTTGAACATGTTCAATCACTAATTTTTAATTCAATTGTCCAGACGGCAGTTAAGGGTCAATCACATTGCTGTGGGTCTGGGGGCAAGTAGGCCAGACCCGACAAGGATTGAAGATTTCCTTCCCTAAAAAAGGTTATTAGTGAACCAGATGGGTTTTTCTTATGACAATCAACAGCAATTGCCATTAGACTATCTTTTTATTCCAGATTATTGAATCCAAATTTTTCCATCTGGTGTTGGAATTTGAACCATTTCCTCGGCTCCAGATTACCAGTTCAGTGACAATACAATTACACTACATTCTGCTCTGCAGTTGTGGGAATGTAATTTTATTTTTACTAATTCTATTTTAGTTAAAATTGTTGAGCAATTAACAGGTTGACCAAATGATGAATTATGTCAATACTCCACGTAGATTGAAGGACTGATGTGGTGTACCTTTTCACTTCTCAGAAAAAAGCATCACATACTAAAGGACACCTTCTCACCAGTACCCTGGAGTAGTCTTTCACAAGGCATGTTGGCTACTAGAACTGGTCCATCCGAATTTTTAGTGAATACAGTGAAATAAATAGATCCTGGAACCTGGTGTGTGTCTGGAACCTTTACCATGAATCAGACTACTGAAGCCAAATCTTCTCCAAGTCGGTCGTCTATACATTTTGTCAGTGAATCGTACTTGGTGTGGAACCATTTTCCGAGTTACTTTCCCCTCTTGCTCATAACTAGTTATTCAATTTATTAAACAATTAATAATCTTCCTGTCTGGATGATAATAAATTATCCAAGAGGAAAATCTGGAGCTTATGACTGTCATTTCAGGCACACAATATATTGTGATAGTTTCTTCAATTCCAAGTTAGCTAAATAACCAAAACACAGATGCGCAAGAATCCAGATTTGTAAAAAGGCTTTATTTTTCTTCCCATTTTTGATCATGAAATTAGTTAATTCCTTGGTTGAGAGTACAGCATGCAAGCATGCCCAGGAATCTGCCACTTTAAAATCTGCCCTCTAAAAACCAGCCACGCATCTCATATGGATGTGCCCAATTTTGATCTTCCCCAGCAAAGTGGCAGGGGTGGGGAAATAAAGCAGTACCTCCATGGCCATTAGCAGGGACACAATGTAGAGAAGGGATACAGTCGCATTTTTACCTTACAAATATTAATGATTTCAAAAGTGAAGCATCTACAAGTTACAGTGTAGTATAAAAAGGGGGAGAGAATTGGTGCAATATACTTTCATGGGGATCTTGGACAAACTAAAAAAGGGCAAAAGTCCATTTGTGCAGAACTTGAAAAGTTTAGAACTCAAACTACAAGCTCTTAACCTTTGAAATCATGGGGAGATAGCAGAGGAAGTTGATACTGAACACTCAAAAACAACTATCATACAGCCAATGGCCAACTGCCAACTGCCAACTGCATAATGACAGAATCCCAGGAACAGGTTGCTTGCTTGGCCTCAAGACCAGGGTCAATAGATGGGAAGAGAGGAAACAACCTCCCAATCCCAAAAGAACAAGAATGGCTGAATGACAAATACAATTTAAAGTTCAATAACCTATGCTAACTGTTTCTCAATCTGTTCTCCTCCATCTTTGCCAGGTGTTTACTAACGCATTTGTTTGGCATTATACAAGGAACCTAATATTGACAACTTTAAAAACAAATCAAGATGCCAAATGTAAAATAATGGCTTTATTTCATCATTTAAAATATACAGTACAGGAAGTGTGCTTAATCAAATTTACGTCATTCTCTGTGATGCTGGCAGAGTGGAGGGGCAGATCCTTCTAAATCATGACATCTATACAACAGTTGTTTACACAACAGACATGTAGACTGGAAAAAAGCAGATGCATTCCTCTAAATAAAAACATGAGAAAGTACAAAATCTTTTTTGAACTATAACTTTGAGGTTTTATAAACAGTATGCCACTTCCTACACGTCAGTGAGATTTTGCCCCCCAACCCCCCCAAAGGTCAGTTACCAGCTCACAAGCATCACCTCTTCAGGTCTTAAAAAAATAAAAAAAGGAAAACAACGGTCATCACAAGGCATTTATATCACTTTTGTGAACTGTACCAAAATGTCAAAATTCTGTCAACTACAAGTCATTTCTATTTCCCCACCAACCCCCTCCCCTGACCTACATTGAAACCTGCTGAGGAATAGCAGTTAAGCACATTATTGCTAGCAGCTAGTGCTAACAATCAGGAGCCCTGATGCAAATTAAACAGCTACAGTACTATTTTATATTCTTCCATCTTGAGAGGTGGGGGAGAAGACATGTTTGCTGTTCAGAGACAGCAACCATGGTTCTGTATATCACAGCAGATAAACCACAAGTCAACAAATAGTAATCTAATTCAAGCAAGCTGACAGATACACTTTACATAAAAGAAAAAAAAAGTTAAAAATGGAGACAAACTGTTATAATACAAGTCCAAACAGGCAATGCCAGAGTTCCTGGTTTTATTTCTTGGCTTGTTTTGTGATCATGCTCCTTGGTGGCGTTACAGGTCGGCTTGTATTAGGTTTCTTTTTCTCTGCTGGTTTCAAAATCTATAAAAAGGAAGTGAACATCTCAAAAACAGAATGATTTTTTTCAAGAGGCCTTTTTTTTAAAAAAAAAGGTTAAATCCCTAATTATTTACAATTGTACCAAATGGCCACTTTTTAATGACAATACAGCTTAATTTTTAGATCTTTCAGAAATGTGTTCATTAGCATTTAACATGAACAACTAATTCATACAGATGCACATGGAATCCGCGGGTGCCCAGTTGTGAAGTTAATTTTCAAACCAACAGTCGTTTTCTATTGGACTATGAATGCCAAGCAAAGTGGTAAAATCTGGATTTAGGTTTCAACATTGTACAAACATCTTTTAAAAAAAAAAATCACCCAATCATAAACAGTGAATACATTCCATTTATTGAAATGCTCAAAAACTTTGGTGAACCACACAATCATCTGTACTACAGCTTCCATTAGATAGTGCCAAAACCTAAACGCTCAATGTCATCAAATTACAAGAAAGTTGTGTGCATTAAGTCTGAACTCTAAGGTCTTCCATTCTCCAGGAACATTATTAGCAGGCTGCTTACCTCTGTCTTCTCCAATAAAGAGGCCTGATGTCTGGCAAAAACTTCACAATAAATATGCCCATCGAGTATGTAGTTAGAAAAATGAAACTTGAACTATTACATCCACTGTACTGTTGAGTTTGTCGCACAAAACAAAATCTACTTTGTAACAAACCCGCAGGGTTCAGCTTACCTGAAAAGAACACATCAAGGTTTCATCCACACTCATCATAGCACCTGCATTATCAAACTCCCCACAATAATTGGGTGCAGAGAACAAAGTCACCAACTGTCTTTTGGCAAAGAATTCATATCCATCTTCTACAACCTGTTTCAGAAATGGAAACAAAGTGAACATGGATTACTACAGATCAAAACCGTTCACACATTATTTAGAGCAGATATTACTAGTGGTTACTTTTAATTCAAATTACTGGGATTTAAATGGTAGTATGAAGTCCTGCCATTTTAATACAACTGCTCAAGTAAAACAGAAGCAGTCAACATAGAAGGCACTAGTATTTAAAGCAGCTAGAATTAAATTGCTTGTTCCAACCAATTCAAAAAGATTGCCAACAAAATCAATGCTAAGAAATTTAGACAGAAGCCTGCAGTTTGAATAAAAGTTTGGATTAAGCCAGTATGACAATTTTGTTTTCTTGTGTCCCTGGCATCATACCTTTTCACTCTAATATCGAACATATGTCAAGGATGGCTCAGAACAGCTACAGGACATTCTGCAGCAGGTCGTACACATTGGTACCAACATAGGTTTAAAACAAAATAAGGGATGAGGTCCTAAAAAGAGCAAGAAGTTAGGAAGCAAGTTCAAAAGTAGGACCTCAAAAAAGTAGTGATCTCAGGATTGCTACCAGTGTCAAATGCTAGTCAGAGTGAAAAAGCAGGATATATCAGATGAATATGTGGATGGAAAGATGTTGCCAAGGGAGAGGGCTCAGATTCCTGAGACATTGGAACCAGTTCTGCAAGAGGTGGGGCCAGTACAAGCTAGATGGGTTGCACCTGGGTAGGACTGGTCCGCACATCCTAGGGGGTGGATTTGCTAGAGCATTTGTGGAGAGTTTAAACTAAAATGACAGGGGCTGGGAAGCTATGCAAGGAGACAGAAGAAATGAAAACTAGGGCAAAGACAAAAAGACAAGAATGGGAATTAAGTGATACACAGAGAACTCAAGAGCAAAGATCAAACGGGGCCGCAGCACAAAATAATGCAAAATGGGACTAAGTGTTAAAAAGACAAATCTTAATGCAGAAAGCATTTGCAACAAAGTGGATAAATTAGTTTTATAAATAGATCTAAACTTGTATGGTAGAGTTGGGATTTCAGAGATGTGTCTGCAGGATGACGAGGGATGGAACTGAACATGCAACAATATTCGATTTTTATGAAAGACAAAGAAGGAGATGGAGTAGCATTGATGATTAGAGACTACTTTAAACAATGTTGGATAGGATAATAAGGATATTATCTCTGAAGTGGAAGCAGTGCAGGTAGAGCTTAGAAACACCCAAGGGGCAGAGAATGATAGTGGCAATTGTATATTTACACTCCAAACTGTAATAGTAATATTGGGAAGGCATTAAACAGTAGATGTGTAAAAGAGTAGAGTAAATCCTAAAGACTAGATGTGGTTTACTCGGACTTCCAGAAGCTTTCGATAAAGGTCCAACATGAGACATCTGTGTGCAAAATTAAAGCACCTGGGATTGGGCGTAGACGATATTGATTGAAAACTGGCTGGGAGATGAGAAACAGGAGAAATAAGTGGTCATTTTCGTCAGTGGCTGCCACTGTCTAGTGAGGTATCACAGGGATCAGCACAGGACCCCAACTATTCACAATATGTATTAATGATTTAAGTCAGGGAACTAAATGTAATATCTTCAATCCTGCAGACAACACACTGCTTATTGGGAGCTTGAGCCATGAGGTGGATGCAGAGATATTCAACGCAAATTGGATAAGTTGAGTGAGTGGGCAAATGCATGGCAGATGAAGTATAATGCGAATAAATGTTGTTATCCACTGACAGCAAAAACAAAAAACAGATCTCATTGGTGATAGAATGGGAAAAGGGGAAGTCCAATGAGAACTGAACATCCTTGTACGTCAGTCACTGAAAGAAAGCGTACAGGTGAAAGTGGCAAATAATACGTTGCCTACATAGCTAGCGGATTTGACAAGAACAGTTATGTCATTGCAATTGGACAAAGCCTCGGTGAGACCAATAACCTGAAGTATTGTGTGCAGTTTTGGTCTGGTTATCCGAGGATGGATGTTCTGGCTATGGAGGGAATGCAGCAAAGGTTAACTGATTCCTGAGATGGCAGGACTGACTTATGAAAGACTCTCAGTATTTACTGGAGTTCAGAAGAATGAAAGGGAATCTCCTAGAAGTATAAAATTCTAAAGACTAAACAGGGTAAACAGAGGAAGGATGTTCCAAATGACCAGAGAGTCACAGTCGAAGGACATGCAGTAAGCCATTTAGAACAGAGATGAGGAGAAACACCTTCATCCTGAGTGTTGAAAGTCTGAAATTCTCTGCCACAGAAAGTGGTTGAGACCAAAACATTGAACGTTTGAGGAGGAGTTAGATTTTGTTCTTAGAGCTAAAGGAATCAAAATGTATGGGGAGAAAGCGGAGCTGAATGATCAGTCATGATCATATTGACTAGTGGAGCAGACTTGAAGAGCTAATTGCCTATCCCACCCCTATTTGCAATATCTCTAACTTAACATTAAATTGTTTCAAACTTTTCTTCAATAAATCCACTGTATTCAGTTTCATAATACACAACACTAATCATAACTACTTGTCTTGATTACATGTAGAAAGACTATATTCTGCATGCACAGTTGGACAGTTTGTAGCACTAATCTGAACTCTTCAGGAGCACACAACTGAAATTATAAAATGGAACAAATCAAAGATTCTCTTATCAAAATACGAGTTTTTTTAAAAAAATGACCCATTTGATTTCTTACCACATTAAACAATAAATTATAATCAATTTATCCAATAGCACATTCACCAGCAACTTAAAGGTTTACACATGAATAATAGACAGAAATTTTTAAAAAAAGTAAGTTTTCATACCATAGTTTAGCTGACTGCAGTGTACTAAATGACAACTGAAGAGTGAGCATTACAAAAAGAGCATGGCAAGCTAGGGAAAATTGCAGGTATTAATTACTGTTCAGTTGTATTTTAAACAAGTTAGTGAATAGCAGAAGCTGCATTAAATCAGAATGAGTGATATTTTAATAGGTAAACAACTGGATTTCTAGATTTAACTGAAATTCAGTAGTTGGTTTCTCAATTTAACTAAATAAAATTTATAAATATTTAAAAGCAGTACATTTATATAGGAGGCAAAATAAAACTGCTATGACATACCTGGTGGGCTCTACAGATCAGATCCAGGTCATGTTTATGAAGGAATTTTGCAACTACTTCTGCTCCAAATGTGAATGAGACACCTCGATCATTTTCACCCCATCCCAATACATCTTTGTCTGGGTCAGACCACAAGAGATCACAGAGAAGCCCTTGATCAGGCACATCAGTGGGTCGCATGATTCGTCTGATTTGTTCCATCGACTGAAGATCAGGTGACAAGCCTGATTTGAGAAAGTAAAATTAAGTTATTGAATACTCATTCTCTGCTCCCTACTGCAACACTAATTGTACTATTACAATGAGAAGTTTTTAAAAAGGTATAAGTTAAAACATTGGCATTCAGCAAATGAAGAAAAAGCCTAACTAAAAAAAGAAATATTCATAATTAATTCAAATTTGCATTAAAATGTTACTTTTAAAAATCCCAGGCCTCAAAGGAGGCAAGATCCTGTACCCAAACTGAATTATACTCACCTCCATGACAGCAAAATATCTTTTCATCCACAATGGCAGCAATAGGTAAGCAGTTGAAACAGTCTGTAAAAGTCTTCCACAATTTAATATTGTACCTCCTTTTACCTAGAAGACAGACATGGGGAAAAGGTAGGTACCTAATGAAGAGGAACACAAAGTTTAAAATCTGGGACATAGACTTATGTAACTTTTTTTGGAAGCTGCGTTTAAATATTTAATGGCTTCTTTTACTTGCACCATTTGTATCTTTAATGTTTGGACACCCATCATCTTTGGGTGAAATGAGTTAAAGAAAGATAATGCAAAAAGAAAAATAATCAACTTTTAAGAACTGAAACAGGAAAAAGACAAATTTGCATTTTACTGTCGTTAGCATTAATTTGAAACTGAAGTGCTACAAGGGACAAATCAGCTAAGTATAAGTGACTCATTACTGCACCAGTTGTAAAACACTGAATTAATCCCTTTCAACTCCTGCTTGACTGGGTTGAAAAACTAAATATCAGAAGATTTCTTTTCATCTTCTCAGCATTCACTCATGTAGTAGGTTTAGTATTAAAATTGAAGAATGAGTTGCATAAGAGATGTCCCAATGACAATATTATATGATAATGTTTTAAGCTTGCATATTTCAATTACTAAATGGGAACAAAGCTATGAAATACCATAATAAATTTCCAAAAACATTCAAAAGAATGCATTAACTAAAAGGGACTAAATCCGTTCCAATTTAGAGGCATTATCAAAGAGGTAACAAGGGTTGTCTTTTTTATTTCTCATTAGAGTGTTTAGTTTCACTACAAGCATTGCTGAGGCAAGAAGCAGCTGAACTAGAGATAGAGATAGTAGCTTTAGTCACACACATACACTTGCCTGACTTGAGCAAAGTTGTCAGAATCTTCAGTAGATTAGAATTGTTTTTAAAAAAAAAAACAACTATTATGCAGAATTGACTATGATTATGCAATAGTAAACTAGGTAATATTTCCTTACATTCATCATAGAATCCATATATTCTGTTTATACTGGCACATTCATGGTTTCCACGCAGAAGGAAAAAATTCTCCGGATACTTAATTTTGTATGCCAACAACAGACAGATAGTTTCCAAAGACTGTTTTCCCCTGTCCACATAATCTCCCAGAAAGAGATAGTTGCTTTCTGGTGGGAATCCTCCATATTCAAACAACCGAAGTAAATCATAATATTGGCCATGAATATCACCTGGATGGGAAGGGAGGAGATTAAAAAAAAATTCAGTCAGAATCATTTACTAAAAGTACATCAAACAGCAGTAGAGTGAAACATGGGTCAGACAGTTGGATCAAATTTAGAACACTCAGTAAAACAGACAGGCATGGGCTGTGCAGATGTGGCAGAGAGAGTGTTCATAGGGTGGAGGCACAAAGAAGAGGTGCAGAAACGGAGCATCTCATGTATATGACTTCCAGATGAAATGCTCAGCCATTATGCATGGTTTACGCCTTGAATTAAAAGCACATAACATATTTCCTCTTTATAAAAGAGTAGCAGAAGCAAAACCCACAATTTCCTGTGCACACTATGAGGTAAAGCTATTAAAATTTCTAACAGCTATTGTATTTTGTGCCTAGCCTCACTGTAACACTAAGCATATCCATAGTGGAATCTGCATTTCATCTCAGACGTGAGAAAAGGGAAGACTAATGTAGTAGTAATTTTATCAGTAATTGAGATAAAACAGATGACAATCCCGTACCATTCATGACAAAGCTATGCTCTCATAAATTTCTAACATAAAGGCTCTTCCCAAAGTCACTTGTTTAATTATACATAGAAACAGAGCAGACAGTTTCCTCCCTGGCTATTTTATACAGCAACCCATCAGCTGGAACATTTGAGATGCAATTAATATCTAAAATAATACTGCAAGAGACTTGCATAAACCTCTCATTTGTTTAAAAAAAATTTAGATGAATACTTCAGAAAGTGTGTAAGTAGTTCATTTTCACACCATACACTAAAAAGTCAAAAGTCAATGCCCTTATTTAAGCTAAAAAATAAAAAACATGGCCTTTCTTTAAAATTGAAAACATTTTCTGCAAGGTTTCATTTCATAAGTCACTTCCCTTTTAATGGGCATTGTACAGTCAGCAAAATTAAAATAACTTTGAATGTCAAGATTAATACCTTGCTTCAAAATGGAGTGTTTAAATATTCTGAATTGGAATTCTCTTCCTCAAAATTACAGAAGCACAGGTACTTTTTCTGATAAGCAAGGGACAAAAGGTTATTACGGATAGGATAGGTGGGGACGTAGGATAATCAGAGCAGCCATAAATCTTACTGAATGATGGACCAGCCTCCAGGAGATATGTGGCCTATTACTGCTTGTAATTTGGAGTTTGTTAAAAACTAGAATCCAAAGATTCAACACACGAAAAACAATTTCATTTTGAGATTCAAACATTTGAGGTCAGCATACAAGACAATAATTGACTATAATGCTACTCACCACATATTTTTAATGGAGCTTCAAGTTCCAGAAGAATAGGTTGACTGAGGAAGATTTCACGAGACTTGAGGCACAAGCCTCTGATTTCATTCTCTTGCAGCTGTACATTTTTTCCTGGTTTAGAACCTCGCACTAGATTGAAGAAAAAAAGAAAAAAAAAAATCAATTGACTGCTGTTAATTTGGAAACGTGTACTATAGGATTTAAATATTGCCTTTTGCAGTTTGAGAAGTTTACTGGGTTGCTAAACATACAAGGGTAGGGTAATTGCAGCTTCCATATTAAAATATCAAATGAAACATTGCAACATTGAAATCAACAATATATCTTTCCCTGGTTAATATCTAGATAGCACTGTATTTAAAAAATTTCCAGAATGCATTTGATAAGATGCCACTTGAAAGATTAATAGAAAAAGTTTAAAAAGCTCAGGATGTAGGGGGCAATACATTGACATGGAGAGAAGACTAGCTAGCTAGCTAGCAGGAAGCACTAGGCATAATTGGATTTTGAAGTTGTTCTGAAGAAGTTGTGCTAAGAGTAGTACTAGACTCAAAATGTTAACTTTTTCCTCTCTCCACAAATGCTGCCCGACCTGCTGATTTCTCCAGCTTTCTCTATTTGCTTCAGATCTCCAGCATCAACCATATTTTGCATTTATATAAAAAGTCTTTTTTTTGGTTGACACACCACTTGTTACAATCTTGCCACAGGAATCAGTGAAGGGACCTCAACATTTTACAACTTAAAATGTCTTGGATGACAGGATCAAAAGTAAATTTGTATCTACCTTTGTGTTAGCAGCGAAGTAAACTGTGAAGACGACGTAAGGGATAACGAAGGGATAGAGACAGTTTAGGACAATTATTTGGTAAATTGAATACAAGATAGGAAAATGTAAAATTGTCCATTTGGCTGAAACAATAAAGCAGCATATTATCTAAAACTGTTAAATATTAGAGATCACAGATCTGGAGGGATCTGAGTGACTTAGTGTGAATTGCGAAAGAGTAGTAAAACAAATAATTAGGGAATAAAATTCTATTAGATTATAAAGTTATTGTAGGCAGAATTAATCACAAAACCAATGACATTATACTTTAGTTATGAGGCAGTTAGCTAACTGTACTGTATTGTCTCCTTATTTAAAGATTGAAATGCTTCTAACGCATTTAGAAGGTTTACTAGACTAATTCCTGGAAAGGATGGGTTGTCTTACATGGAAAGGACAATAGGCTAAGCTTGTATTCACTAGAGCGCAGAAGAATAATATGACTCAAATGAAGCATACAAGATCGGAGGAGTCTTGACAGGGTGCAAACACAAAAGCATGTTTCCTTTTGTGGGAGAATCTAAAGCTGTGTTTTAAAAATATGGGGTTGCGAATTTAATGACAGATGAATTGAAATTTGTCCTGAGGACTGAATGTCTTCAGAATGCTCTCCCTCAAAAAAAAATGGTAGAAGCAGAATCTTTGAATATTTTTAAGGTAGATTCTTAGGCAAGGAAGTGAAAAGGTTATTGGCGGTAGGCAGGATTGTGGAATAATCAGCCATCTTTTTGAATGATCGAGCAGGCTCAAGATGCAAGTGGCCTACTCCTGCTCCTAGTCTGTTTGTTCGAATGGTCTTGAACCACACAGACAAAATCCCAAAAATCAAATTAATTGTCTTGGAATTTCAGCAGGGCACACTGCAAATTCACTAACGTACATCCATTAGCTAGATAGAAAGAAAATGGTATTCAAATAGTCTTTTAAGTGAGCGTATTGAATATTGTCATAATCAATTTCATTGCTGACATGAATTAAAACCTGAAGCCATCTTTGTTTAAAATAAAGCTTTCTAACTATATAACAAAACTTCCTTAAAGACTTCATTAAGCTCACATGAGAAAGAACATCTTTTTACAAAAAACATGTTTTTGCCAGGATGAAAATTTATAATTTTAAAAACCTAAAACACAGCCAAATTTGCAAAACTGTCAAACACGTTATACAGTTGAATTAGATATTAGCAACTTTGCAGATTATCCAAGTCACAACACATGACTTGTAAGATTAAACAATGGCTAATGATGGTTGTGTTATTTTGAAAGTAGTAAACTACTCGAATCCCAGAGAAAAATGCAAGCCATGAAGTATACAGCTGGAAGATTTCAAGCAATCCCCAATGTTATTCATATTCCAAAACAGGTCAGTGAGGTTATTGCACTAAACGTCCTCATTCCTTCAAAATGAAACAGCTATTATGGAGTGCTTACTGTACATGCATGGGAACAAGAAAGGTCAAGAGATGTTAAACATTTGAAAAAAAAATCAGCTTAAATTTGATTTTGTACGAAAGCACCAATTAAGACAAATGCATTGCCTTTAAAAGGCCATCTATTTTCTATGCTCAACTTCCTGGTTTCCACGAAGCAGCTATTACAATTAACCCCAAATCTTCTACTTTTCCTATTTCAGGTGGCCACAATCAATGGTATGAAGATGTGATCCAATAAACTGTATTGCATATGAAGACTCAAAAGGAATGAGAGTCAGTTTAAATTACGCATTAGATAGTAGGCTAGTTATCTTTCGCTGAAATCTAAAATTGCTGCCAACCCTCAGGTCTGCTGCTCTTTTAGCCATTCGTATGCCCCTTCCTTGGATCTAATATTATCCCCAATTTACCTCATTAGCCATGGCCCCGTTGTGTTTGTGCCAGACAGGAATGAACAGTTGGTGCAGTTCCACCATGCATTCTTTAAATATTTGACATGTCCGCTCTATCATGTAGATAGGCAACTTCAAAAGCAAAGCTGAGGCCATCAACACAAGATTGCCCACAAGAAATTAAATCAGGAATTACTTACCCACAGAATGTCAAGACTTTGGAACTTATTACAAACAGACAGAAGATGTTTTTAATGAGAGTTAGATAAGCGTGCAAAAGGTGAAGGGAATAGACAGGTACATGGATTGGTGAGGGAAGATGGGAGGTGAGTAGTAGACTGTGAGGACTGTTACAGTTTAGGTTGAATAACTGTTTCTGTACTGCATGTTCTATTTTTAAAAAAAATTATTTGGATCAAAGCTAAAATGGAAATGTAATGATCAGCCAAGATCTAATGAACGCCACAACAGACAACATGCTGATGAGTAGAAAAAAGTTACTTTAACTTAACTAAATTGTGAATTAAAATCAGAAAGCAATTTGGTGTAACAGTATAATTTTTGCTCCTGGGAAGGACGTAAAGAAATCATGCAGTAAGCCTCTAATGTTTAAACAATCACACTGAAACCTAGATACCATTCTTATTTTTATACAGCTTGTTACTTTGTGAAAATAGTGAAAAAAGAAAAGCAGACTTAAACTAGGGAAAACAAAATGGGCAAACCTTTGTAAAGGGCCAACACAGAAAGAGTAATGGTAGTCTGGACCAAGATGAACATGCATAGAACTAACAGGAAATCAGTGGTTCAGATCAGTAATGGGAATATCCATATTTAAAGAAATATATAAAGAATATACAGAGCAAAATGATAGTGGTCCCAGCAGTGCTGTTGTCAAGGTCAGCTAGTAGAGACTGGCAGTTGATTTGCATATACAAGTTTTCTCATATGTATTTTCAAGGCTCTTGTGGTATCTCTGAGCCAGGAAAACCCAGGTTAAGGGCCCACCTGCTCCAGAGCGATGTGAAATAACATTTCTGATCAACTTCTTCAGCAGTATCCATGTGAAGTATTTACAAATGTCTGCTTGATGTGTTATTTACTAACTATATTTGTCTACGAGTTCCACGTAGAATTAATGCTCTGGATCTCAGCCCCATCAATTCATATCCTGCCTAACAGGATATTGTAGACATTCCTATGTAAGAAATGCAAATAACATTAAATTCCCAAAGTAAAAGGACAAGACAGAAACTGAACAAAAATAAAACTATGTTCAAGGTGAGGGATGCTAATGTGGGGAGAAAAATACCCTTCTGCCTGCTCAGGGATACAAAGTATGTAACTGTGATATTAAATCTGAAAAATGCAGATCACAATTATTCACCACTGAACTTCATATATACCTTGTATTAACAAATATGGACAATTCTGTACTCATGACTGGGGAAGACTTTCTACCTTGTCAGACTACCATTTAATTAACCATGGTTAAAGAGATTTGGTTATTTTGACTATCCAGAAATCCAGCACTGAACATCAAGACTGGCAATACTTGTGTTCTTGCCACTGGTGATTTATAATCTGTTCTGTACCTGGTCAAGTTAGAAGCCAAAAATGTACGATTTACACTGCAAAATATAAAAAAGGGAATAATCCAAATTATTTCTACATTGAAACCGAAACCAAAACCAAAAGCAGCTGCTTAGGGCCCAAAAACAGAAGATAATCGAGACACCAAATACAAAGCTGTAGTTAGCCAAATTCAATTGGTCTTAAATACCACATCTGCAATTATGGGAACTCATCCAACATGAAATGCCTTCAAGTCTGCACTCCTTAATCCAACAGGTTGCACATGCATGCCTACTCCAATTCAGTTTATCTTGCAGGTCAATTGTGAAAGCAGAGACTTTTTGTAGTTTTAACAGCAGCATACAATAGTACATCTGGCAAGGGTTATTTTATCCAGATGGATAAAAAATATATTAACATTAGTTGACAAATGAAGACGATGGTTGTTCATCTTGGTGGTTTTTATACATTTTTAAAAGGAAAGATGATACGAGACAACCTTTACAGTTCCTTTAATGTCACTTATTCTTTTCAGAGGGATTTTGGATATCTGAAGCATACTATAATCAATTTCATAAAAATCAATCCCATTTCACCTCCTGTATTTACCAGTAGACATTTAACGTGTAATTAAGCAAAGGGATACAGGCTTCATGATGCACAGATGAGGGATAGAAGATAGTCTGATTAACCTTAATCAAATTACATTAAGTTAGTCTTTTTTTCCCTAAAAATCAGCACAACACAAGTCCTTGAAGCAAGCAGTGTATGACCATCCGAATTATTTTTGTGCATGTTACAATTTAAGGCATTTATTTTTGGAGTGCCACTAGTGAACATGGATTTTTCTCACTAACTGCACTCATTAAGAAAAATAGGTTCCAACACTACAGCGCAAGTA